TCCCTCCCTCCCTCTCTCTCTAAAAATCAATGGAAAGATATCCTCAGGAAAGGATTAAAAAAAGAGAGAAGCAGCAGTACATGCTTTCGTATCATTTGATGAGTCAAGTTTTCCTAGATGTCCTGGCTCCATATGACCCAAAACATGAGCGACGACAGGGCACGTGACGTCACGGGGTGAGGGGAAGGGGAAGAAATTTTGTAAATAACCACTTCTCCTTTTGAGGTATGAAATAGAGTGCGGGGCTGTGTCCTTTCAAGGCTTAAAAAGGAACCAAGTCTATATAAAGAACACTGGGGAAAAAGGAGCTGACCGCTTTGGTTCTGAGATAACTCAAGTCCTCCTGGTTCCTTGCGTGACCTCTCTGAATACGAGGAATGTCCTGCTGCCTCACACGGGTAAGCATATTCCTGTGAGACATTCCCTTAAGTAGTTCAAGGAACCTGGATACTGAATAAACATGGTAGGGGACGCCGGAGCCCTGGCCGGTGCGGCTCAGTTGGAGCATCGCCTGGTGCACCAGGAGGTCGCCGGCTCGATTCCCCGTCAGGGCACGTGCCTGGGCTTCAGGCTGATCCCCAGCAGGGGGCGTGCACGAGGCGGCTGACCTATGTTTCTCTCTTGCTCCCTCTCTCTGAAATCAATAAAGACATATTTAAAAAAAAAAAAAAAAATGAACTACTGCCACACAAAATAACATAGGTGAATCTTTTAATGTCAAACAATGAAGTCAGACTCTAGATCGGTCCATTTATAGGAAGTTAAAAACCATGGAAACACGTAGTAACCTATGATAAAGGTCACCACAGCGGTTACCTTTGGGGAGAGTGCACTCTGGGAAGGGGCGCGAGGTAAGTCGTCTGGGATCCTAGAACGTTCTGTCTTGATAAGTATGATACAATAGCATAAATATGTAAGGAGCTGTAACCACCGGCCCACCACACCTACGACACCAGCATTCACCAGGAAAAACCCTGCTGGTCACCCAAGCTCCTCCGTGGGCTTAGTCGGCGACTCCCAGCCGGACAGACGTGATCGCCAGAATTAATCAGTATTGTTCTCTCACTCAAAAACGTGTCAAAAACTACCCGAGGGAGGATCCGATGTGTTGACAACAAACACAGCTTCCAGCCCCAGAGCAGCAGTATGGAAAAGACTGAATCTCCTACTAATAAAATCCCCGCCTCCAAGTCGATGGAATGGAAACCTAGCACCTCATTCAGAACAAGAGATGATGCAAGAATAGCCGTGAGCCATGAAAATTAGCGATAGCGCCTTCACTTAGTCGCTGCTAACTCCCCCTTTTCTCTGTGTGCAAGGAGGGGCTGCCGTTGGTTCGTGTGATCATGAAACATTCAAGGGAAAAGAACTACCCTGATCAGGGGTAGTCAACCCACCTACCTCGTACATATTTGTTCAGGGTCTACTACACGAGGCACTTCTGGGCGTTGGGGACAAAATGAACAGTGAGTTGACCGATAAGCCAACAGATAGTTTGGATGGATTGTGAAGGTCAATGTCCATGTCACAGCAGGTCACTGGGGGCGCAGGAGAGGCCGCCGAGGCTGGGCTGGTTGGGGAAGGCTGGTCAGAGACGGGGGGCTGGATCTCGCAGGACGGTCCAAGCCACAGTAAGGGGGGGCGGGGAGCACGGAGCTGTGACGGGTCCAGCCTTCACACACAGTGCTTTCTGAAAACGGGACCCTGCACAGGGAAGGCCTTTGTGCAGGTCCGCTCAGGGGAGAGCCTTTTATAACCCATCTTCCCAGAGTGCGTCAGTCGGCAACCTGGGTTTTACGCTACATGAAATGGGGAGCCAATGAAAGGCGTGAGGCCAGGCACTGAGGACATCAGGCTTTCATTTTTAAAAAAACATACTCAGGCAACAGTACGGAGACAAGAGTGGAATAATTAAAAAATAAAACAATCAAGGCTAATAAAAATAGTATGATAAACAGACCCGGCTAACTGCATACTTGAATATCAGATGACCTTATCCTAAAAGAAATTCAAATACATTTTATGTTTCAAAACTTGACTTCTCTGGCACACTGGAGGCCAACCCTTTGCTTCTGAGAATTGTATTCGGATCAGGGACGTGGTGTTGGGGCTGGGAAAGGGCTGTTTTAGCTGCGCTTGAGTCAGTCCGGCAGCCGGCTCTTTCTTATTTGTGACGTTCTAGTGCCACCCCTTGACCCTTCCGTCTCCTTGCACGTTTGTGCCCAAGGATACAAGTAAGGGCTGTGCTTGCAATGCCGGCCTTACAGTTGGGTCACATAAGTCTCAAAGAAATGCAAACCTAAGTAGTAAGATACCACTGTCACCTACGGGATAAGCAGGAAGCTTTTAAAAGGTCGCTCGGCGTGGGAGATGGATGCAGGCGAGCAGGCGCTCGTTCGCCCGGGGCAGGGATGGACGTTTGCCGAGGCCTGCGATGCACGCGCGTGACGACTTGCACCGAGAGCCTTCAACACGGCCTTCCTTCCTTCTAATCTGGTCAGTCCGTTCCTCGGAGTACATCTTAAGGAAATAATTGCAAATGTGGGAAAAGCTTTGTGCAAAATGCTGCTGCATCCTATGTAAGTGTCCCAAAGAGAGCAGGGGAAGGACCACTCAGGCTTCGGGAAGTTCTGCAACGAGCCCCGGAGCATGCGACGCGCTCGGCTAGTCCGGGGTGCAGCCAGAATTCAAACCCAGACTTCTTTTATTCCAAAACCCGTGTTTTCAGTCACAATCTGGTATAGAAACGATGTTTTCTCAACTGACAAAACAAGCAAATGAATCGTAGCAACGCCAAGTTATTCACAAGCACAGCAAACGATGACGAGGGTGGAGTAAGAGCTACGGTGTTGGCGTGTGCGTGGAGGCCTCTGCCCGCTTTCGGCGCCTCACTGCCCTCCTGGCCAGCCTCCCGCTCCCGGCCTTCCAGCCCGCACACCGCACGCCCGACTCCTGGCCAGAGGCTTCTGCTCGGCCCTGCCCTTTCCTGGCGCTGGCATGAGAAGGAGAGGTTGGAGAAAGCACGGAGGCACTTCTTTTCTCTTTCGGTGGCCGCGTGGCAGAGGCAGCCGCAGGGAAGGACGCCCACGGGCGCTGCGGGCGGCGGTGGTGGAGAGGGGCAGCAGACCAGGGCGGAGGAGACTCGGCCTCTGGGGGGAGCAGCGGGGGCTCCACCAGCTCTGCTGTGAATCCAGCTGGAGGCTCCAACCCAGAGGCAGGAAGGAGCAGCTCCCTGACCTTAGACCAACAGCCTTTCCCCCTTTTTCCTCCCAAGCCACCCCATCTCCTTTTTGCCTCTCGGTTCTTTTAATACCTTTAAAACCAATTCCCGGCACTCAATCCATCTCCACGTGAATTACCTAGAGAGTTTTCTATTTTTCTGTCTGGCCACTGACGGACACACGCTGCAGCAAAGACAATATACATGTTTACTACAATACCATCAAAAAGAAGGACATTCTTATTTTTATAGGAGGAAGACATTGGCTATAAGTAGTTGCTTTTCTTCTGGTGGGGGAAGAAGCAAAATATTCTTGTATTTTGTTTCCTTTATATATGGTACAAAAAAAAAATGACAGTCTCTATAAGTTACAGTTATACAACTAGCAAATAAAAGATTTATTAACATAGGATATGAGTTTTTTATGGGACAATCGGGCTACCAAGTGTCTTAGTTATCACTTGTCAAAGGACATTTGACAACAGCTATAACACAGAGACTGCACGATTTAAAAACCATAATAAATAGGGTCGGTTAATAGCGGGCTCCAAATGTCCTCTTGTGCTCCCAGAAAAAGGTCTGATGATTTACTAGGATCCATTTAGAAACACCTAAATGGGAAGAAACACAGAAGTATCTTCATGAGTGTCATTTAGTGTTTTTTCCTGAAATTTTTTTTTTTTTTTTTACAATTGCAAATTCCTCTTTTTTCCATAGTGGACATCTATGTTTTAGGGAGCTAAGAAAGGAGAAGTAGCCCGGCCAGCGTGGCTGAGCAGCTGAACATTGACCTAGGATCCAGGAGATCGTGGTTTGATTCCCGGTCAGGGCACATGCCCGGGTTGCGGGCTTGATCCCCAGCACGGGGCATGCAGGAGGCAGCTGATGAATGACTCTCATCATTGATGTTTCTCTCTCTCTCTTCCTCTCTCTGAAGTCAATAAAAACATATTAAAAAATAAAAAACAAAAACCGCTTGACACAGAGCTGAGAGGAGGACCATGGCCTCTTCCTTTCTGGCTGGGGACTCACACACACACAAAAAAACAGAGAAATATACGCAGTCCCACGTGAAAATGCGCTGCTCTCTAGAACAAGTCTGGCTCAATGTCAGGACCCTGGAAATAAGAGATGGCTGCAGGCAGCGTTACCTTCAGGATCTCACAGGGAGCCGCATCTGCCGGCACAGGCGTCCCACGGTGCTTAGAGTACTCAGTGACAAAGATGGAGGCTTCATCTAAACTGTGGTATTGAAGGAAAAAGAATGGCGTGAGGACACTCTCAGGGCGACGACTATGCTCACTAGCTGGATTGCGGTGCCAGTGTTACAGGGTTAGACACTTTCAAAATTCATCAGGCTGCACCCCTGAAATATGTGCAGCTGGTTCTACATAGATTATACCCCAGAAAGATAACACTTGTGCCCAGATGACAACATGAGATTATGGCTGGATCACAGTGACAAACAAGCAGACCGCTGACCTCTGGGTGCCTGCAGCAATGTTACAGTGTAACATTCGGAGCCTTTCATTGCAACCAAATAGCTCTGTAACTGATATCTTCCTCCAAAATAAAGATACATCTTAAGGAAATTGTATAGTGCTTTTTTAAATTCACATACCTTAATTCTTTTGCCAAATAGGTCACCAGGTCAGTGACGTTGCTAGTGTTCATCATGTGCAGCTTCAACACTTGAAAGTATTTTGTCTTCACCAAAACCCCAAAGTCCTTCTTATTTATGATATTATTCAGAACCAGGTTTCGAATCTGCAGAATGACAGGTGGTGTCATATTAAAAATGTGTTTGATGCCAAGTTCTATTCAATACTGGAATGTTTGTGACAGTCAGGAGTTAGGCCATCTCGTTGTAGCTAAGCTAAGCCTCCTTTCGGGGGGTGGGGAGGAAGAGGCCCATTGCAACACTGTGTAGAGTAAATGAGTAAAAGGTAATTGTTGTTAAGCACTTTAGGATTTTTTTTTATGAGCATAGCAATAATAAGACAGCCAGAGTCCCTGCTTTTTTTAAAAAAAATTATAGGTTTTAATAAAAGCAAAATAACTGTACATATTAACAAAGAGACTGAGGTAGTAATTTTCTGCTTCATCTTGGTTTGGGGGAAATGATTACCTTCTAATACCTAACTTTTCACAGCAAAAGGAGATGGGATTTTCTCTTACTTGATGTGAAAACCCCGCCAACTGGCCAGTATTCATATGTTCTTCTAACTGCTGCAAGATGATCTGAGGATCACACGAGTTCAGAAAGTTCTAGAGAAACAAAAACATAATTAACGGAAAAGGGTAATTACTACGAATTCCTGTCAAATCTGTAAGGTTTTAATTTTTGAATCTAAAATGTCTTAAAGGATTTCTATTATAGGAAAAAAGGCCTTGGTCAACAAAAATTTATTGACATAAGGAAAAAAGGCAGTTTACAAAAAAATACCCATGCCAACAGCAAGAGCTGTTTAGTGAGCATTTTGTGGTTCTAAGTGCCAAAAGGAGTCTATTTAGACACTAAAACTTTGAAAAGCGGCAACGGATGAGCTTATAAATAGAACAGAGCAGCCTCAGCGATGAGCACAGCTTTGAGACATGAAACAAACAGAACCAATGAGAAATAAAAACCTGTGTGTTCGTTCTCACGGATCTCTGTCTACTGGCTTCACTACCTTTGGGGAAATAACCGAAACATCTCCAAATGCTTCGTTCTACTAGTTCTGTATTATAGAGGGAGGGAGTTAGTTTTTAAAGCCCTGTCCTCAGAATGCTGTGGCTCCCACACCCAAGACCCGACTCTCTCCTCTCTCCCATCTCTCCCCTCCAATCCCTAAGTCGAGCTGCCTTCCTCCAGGCCTTTCCCTCTAGTTCATCTTCATTCACTGCTACCACCCTACACTGGGGAGGGATCCCCTCAAGCTATCCCAGCCTCTCCACAAGGCTGCTGTGCGTGGATTAAGAGAGATAACAGCCTCCCCAGTTTCCTTTCTCAACACCTCTCTCCTCTGTTCAAGCTGACGTGGATTATTCCTTCTGATATATTCTCTGATCATTTCTCTGTACTCTTCTGGGAAAATTCATTGTTCCTCACTGACGAAGATGCGCTCTCAAGGCACCCCTCAGACTAGCCTCAGTCCCTCTTCCGTCTCACCCTCCCACGAAGCCTCCCACAGCCCCCGTATTGCCCATACTGATGTAACCCTGCTTTGAAGGTTTGGTGAAAAGAAAATGCAGCCTTTCTCAGGAGACATGCAATATGAGACCTTCCATTTTTCTGGCAGCCCCGGAGGGATGGTTTCCAAGATACCTTAATCTGCTGGTGTCTTTTTTCCGAGTGGGGCATGAGCATGAGACAGGCTAATGCAAACGCCGGGAGCTCTAACTGGACATACTGCCTGGCGACTCCAATCATGTCGAGATCACCCGAAACCGGACATCTTCGAGAGAGCACACGGTCAGTCACTAGATGATACTGCCAGAGGCCCTCGATTCCAGTTTCCCACAGTTGTTAGTTGCCTATGCTTTCAACAATTTTAAACATTATGAGTAACTCTTCTACGGCACTCTTCCCGGAATAAAAGGATCTACCTACAGGAACACAGCCGCTGGCTGCTGCTATGAGTACGCCTGGAAGCCTCCACACGCCCAAAGACAAATCCTCAGAACACTCACAATCTGTGAGAGGCACGGTGTCCCTCAGGGTAGTCACAGAGGGCACTCTATACTGACATTCAAAGTGGGGGTCATCTGAATATCCATTTACGAGTTGTACCTCACGTGGAGAGTAGACATTAGGAAAATAAGATATTTCATTTCAAAAACAAGTGGTATGCCTTCCTTCCCAAGAAAAAGGAATTACTCACAAGAGATGTTTATTAAAAAGGAATTTGAGAGGCAGTAACTTGGATTTTTTTTGAGGGGTAGGAAAACAAATATTTTACTTACTCGAGAACAGCAATGAGACTTTCACAACAATCTGATAACTGGCTGGGGCTTAAAGGGCAAGAGGCTGAAATAAAAAACAACGAAAGCGTGTATTATACACACACAGCCGTAAGGTGCTGCTGTCAATGGCCCAGAGGAGAGGACCTACCTGAAAGGAGGGGTATCTGCACCACCCGCTGCCAGGCCTTGCTGAAGTAGGGAACCTGTGGGGATGAGCATATTACAGAGCTCACGCCTGGGCTATCAGCAGCTCTTTATTTTACAGCCATAAGATATATACAAAAGCTTATGTGCTAGGTGCTAAAACCAAAGTCCTAAGTTGACATCTCTGTGTTTGAGATGATTAGATTCTAGGATAATTTTCAGCAGCCCCTAACCGGGTTGCTCAGTTGGTTAGAGCATCGTCTGGATACACCAAAGTTGCAGGTTCAATCCCCAGTCAGGGCACATACAAGAATCAACCAATGATGCATAAGAAAGTGGAACAACAAATCGATGTTTCTCTCTCTCTCAAATAAATTTAAAAAACCCCCACTTAATTGTACATTTTAAAAGGGTGAATTTTACATGTGTGAATTATATTTTAATTAAAAAAAAAAAAAAGAAATCTGTGCTGGGCCAGGAATGGAACTGGTGACCTCCCAGTGCATGGACGACACTCGACCAACTGAGCCACACCGGCCACGGCAGTCCTGTTCTTTACTAAGGAGACGATCACTAACCCAATGTGCCCAGCCGCCACAAGGCCAGAGAGTATAAACACTAAATTCTATAAAACTTACTTAAAAAAACAAAACTCCATACCTGCCATAAAGAATGGATACTAGAAATGGCTGTTAAAACTTTCCTTAGGTAAAGGATCTGTGGGAAAAAAAATAAAGAAAAAAACATTCCAAAGATCACCAAAATAGAAAATTTCCACATGAAGTATCGGATTCTTTTGAAAGGAATATCAGTTGAATTTATCTCCCCTGAGACCTGCTGAAGCAGTTCACTCACAAACTCCCAAATATCAAGAGGCCGGGGAACCCAGCCCTCCACTCGTTTCCTGTGAGATCTGTGTCATTTTTCGAGTCTGCATTTTCTCTGGCCTCACACTAACTCCTTCAAGTCTGGCCTGAACCCAGCAAAAACGAGCGCTTTAACCTACACATACCGCAGCCCAGGGCGCCGAGTCTTACCATGTTGAAGCCAAGCAGCTTTTGTAGGAGTCCGTTCCACAGCTGCAGATCATAGATTTTGTATTCTAAACAGAGCTCGGTCACCAATCTTACTGCCTAAAGCAGGGGGGGAAAAATTGTACTGCTTTAAGGCACCAGACAATTAGACCACCTCTGGGAAAGGCATGCATCCCGCCCTGGGCTCCAAAGGCCTAGAGACTAAATCCCCAACAACAGCCAGGAGGAAGTGGAACTACACCTCTCCCAACCTAGGAACCTCTCTCCTCCTGTCCAGGCGAGGACAGGCGGGCCTTGGGGAGGATTAGAGACCTGCCCTCTCTCCTAGACAGGGACGGCCTTAGGCCTTCAGGAAGAGAGGGAAGGGGACTCCCAAATTGCCTTGTCATCCACTGGGACAGGCATGAACCAGGAGATCGAGGTTTGATTCCCGGTCAGGGCACAGGCCTGGGTTTGGGCTTGATCCCCAGCAGGGGGCGTGCAGAAGGCAGCCGGTCAATGTCTCTCATGATTGATGTTTCTCTCTCTCTCCCTCTCCAATCAATAAAAACATATTAAAGAAAAAAAAAGAAAGGACAGAAGAGGGCCTCACAGCCACAGACCTACTCGGGAATAAAGTCCCCCGGTTTTCTCCTTCGGGCACCCGAGGAGCAGCAGCAGCTGAGCAAACGGAGGTGGCAGCCCCACCCTTGGATGACTTGGGTACATACCATGGACTCGTGGCTGTGGTTTTTCCAAAGACCCTTAATCATGCCTTCCTTAGGGCTGTTGCAGAACAATTCATATGTGATGGGGATATTCAAAGTCTCAAAAGATGCCAGGAAAGTTATACATTTCAGATAAGACCTGGAAACAGAGGCATTTACGGAAAAGGTCTCATGGGCCGCGTTTACACTTAAAAAAATGAAATAAAAGCCACCCTACGGGTAAACATAGGCCTGTTTGTTTTTAAATGCCTGTTTAAGGCTTCTAAATATATTCACCGAGTATAATATTAGAAAGAAATCAATCTGAGCAAGACGGCAATGTCCAACATCTCCCAGGAACGAGGGAAACAAGATGTTCTCCAAGGCCCATTTCCCTGCTGCCAAATGTCCAGGACTGGGGGCTCCATCTCCGCGGCCACCCTAATGCACTCTTAGGAACCAAGGGCTGTGCAGGTTATCCTTCCAAACAAAGACCTGTCACCTGTTTCTCAGTACAGTTTTAAAAATTCTACTCACTTGACGTCTTCGATGGGTTTTTTGAAGAGAGACTCTATGGTTTCCTTGTCAGCCAGGTAGAGGAGACACTGAAGGGCCCGTGTTCTGTGGGCAAAGGTCAACTGACGCATATCCAACGTCTGTAAAACCAAAGAAGGTTTGGAGGGTTGTGTGCCTGCGTGCTGTGCCTGGGTTAAAGCTTGGGCAACATAAGCAACATCATTTAAAAAAAAATTAAAATCAATCTCTGCTCTGGGCGAGTCAGTGGTTTGCAAAGTGTGGTCCATGGAACCCTGAGGAGTGCTCCTCAAACTCATTCAGGGGGGAAAGGTCAAAACTGTTTTCCTAGTAACACGGCTGGTTCAGCTCAAGGCAGGAACCCGCCACCGTGGCAGCAGCCGCTGGATTCTCCACAGCCCAGCCTTCGCAGTATCGAAAGCAAGCGATGGCCCCTGCTTAAGAAGGTTCTTGGTGAAACAGTAGAAATTAATTTTATAAACCTCGACTCTTGAATATATTAATAAGGGTTCACATTTGAATACATATTAATGTTAGTTAGTGAAAATGTACTCATCAATGGGAGGCGTGTGTAGAGCATGCTTTTCCGTATGATGGTTTTTTCAGGGGAAAGCGCTTGTACTGTGAGCTGAAGGAGCCACTTTTCCTGGAACACCATTCTTACCTGGAAAGATGACTGATGTGCTTGGGGAAAAGGGGATATTTTCCCCTTGCTGTCAAGGACGTGCCCTCAGCACCGCAGACCTCCTCCCTTCCCTTCTACCTACACCTTCCTCTCCCTGGGCTCCAGCCGCCTTGGAATATTTCTAGATGCACAAGCCAGAAAGCAAAGAGGCTGGGCTGCCTTTAGGGAAGGGACAAGGGATGGTTTGGTCCAGGTGAATCTTAGTGGCATGAATGGAGGGGAAAGACAGGTTACACAGGGCCCTGAGGCCAGGGTGGAGGCTTCTCTGGTTGGCCCCTTGCTCTGAGGAATGCTGACCAACTGGGGAGTTGGTAACTGTGAGTTAGATAACCCATGGGAACTGGCACACCATTCAGCTGGCTAAATGGGATGTGACTGGAGCCAAAGTGAGACATGCTTCGGGTAAGTACACAAGTGAGCAGTATCTTAATCATGTTAGTGATATCGAGCATGGAAAATATGCAGGAAAAAACAGTAAGCTGAGATGCAGACATGAGTCCTGACTAAGTTCCGAGGACTTACAGTTGTAGCTGATGTTGCGAAGATAAACAGCATTCTTGAACTATAGTCAATCGGACGAGACAGGAGGAGATACAGGACCCTGGAAAAAAAATTTTAAGTTTAGTGATAGATTACCACTGTCCACAGAGAAAGTCATTAGACCTCAAGGGTTATGGGTCAAGGACATTTTTGCTTTCCCTTTTATCTAAAGACCATAATAAATTCAATAAACACAGTCTTCTCATCTATGAAATGGCTAGTCGATCTCCGACCATTTAAATTCTCTCCATTTAAGAAATTAGTATGAATAATAGCTGCAAAGTGCATTGAACACTATGCATGGACCATTCTGTTTTCATTTCACAGGACATTTCAACCTGTGGACTTGGGGTTGAATGGCCCCCTCCAGAGAAGGAAGGGCAAGAGGGACCAGGGGGTGGTGGAGCTTTCTATGGGAAAAGACTGGAAGTTATGAAATTGGCATGAAGGAAAAATCCCTTTTGGAGTTTGTTTCTTGGGACACTCTCTGTTTGAATTGTTTCCCTCTAAGACTTCCCTGTGGCTGACTCATTACCTCGTGCTTAGCCAAAGGTGCCCCTGCCCACAACACTATGCAAGGACCAGGTGAAGTCCAGAGGGAAGGAGGCCATGGAGGCGGTGGTAGGCCAGCTCTGTCCAAATCAGGAGAAATTCTCCCCTTCGGTTTGTCTTTCCACTTCGTCTCTCAGATCTCCGGGACTGAGGCAGGGCTTCACGAGTGACTTGACCTACTTCTGGCCGAGACCAGGAATGGCACGAAGCTGGCCTGCGAGCCACCACTCCCTCTCCCACGCCCAGGCCACGCACCACTAATGGATTACCACATTCTCTCTGATTTGGGCCCAGATAGTCTTCTCAGGACATTGTGACCAATCAGATTCAGCACACTGGACGAGCCCGATGTGCTTTCTTTGGTCTCAGGTTGGCAGGGAGAAGAAATCCTGGTCACCAGGGGGAGAGGGCGGAAAGGGGTCTGGGGCCAAGCTCTCAGCTGAGGAAAGGTCTCCTTTGCTTGAGGTGAGCTCTCTGCTAAAGACATTCTCAGTGCCCTCAACACTCTGGTAGGAACTCACTGAGGGCTCAGAAATCCTGAATCTTGGCTGCTGCTTATTTATTCCTGGGGATACTTATGTCTGCTCACAGCAACACATCAAAGAATTGATTCTTCTCAGAGACTCTGGTCCACGTTAGATCAAGAATATATTTTCAAAACCGACCTCCGACACGTTTACCAGTAAGATTCCTACCGGGCAGCAGGGTACAGACAAGTGTAAGGAGAGAGAGAGTTACCTTCGTAGTGCTTCATCTTCTTGAAGTTCGAATATTTCTGATGGGTTCTTTGAAAAAGTGAGGAGAAAAAAAAAAAGTAAAAACTCAAGTCATGTTTGTTGATCTAGACAAAGTTATGAAAACTTATTAGATGGAAAACTCAATATAAAAGACTGTGCTCACACATAAGAAATTACAGTACGACTCATTACTTTAAGATTTCTGCTTAGGAAACGGGCTCATTCAGTTGAGAAATAATTACTGAGCCTGGCCGGGTGTGGCTCAGCGGTTGAGCGTCGACCTAGGATCCAGGCGATCGGGGCTCGATTCCTGGTCAGGGCACATGCCCGGGTTGTGGGCTCGATCAATGACTCTCTCATCATTGATGTTTCTATCTCTCTCTCTCCCTCTCCTTTCCTCTGTCTGAAATCAATAAAAATATATTAAAAAAAAAAAAAATTACTGAGCCTTGTTCTTAGGAAACGTACTTACAACTATTGAAGGGTAAGAGGGGCATGACATACGCGATTTACCCTCAAGTGGTTCAGACAGATCTCATGACTATACGTATCACAGGGAGAGTATTAAAGCAAATACGGCCAAACCTTAACCACTGATGGAGTTGGGTGAAGGGTAGACAGGAATTACTATTATTGTTCCTAAATATGTTTTTATTGATTTGAGAGAGAGGAAGGGAGAGGGAGAGAGAGAAACATCAATGATGAGAGTCACTGATCGGCTGCCTCCTGCACGCCCCCTGCTGGGGATCGAGCAGCAACCTGGGCCTGTGTCCTGACTGGGAATCGAACTGCAACCTCCTGGTTCATAGGTCGACGCTCAACCACTGAGCCACGCCGGCTGGGCAGGAATTCTTTTATAGTATCCCGACTTTTCTGTATGTTTAAAATTACTTCAAAATAAAAAGTCATTCCCATGAATCTGAGTGTAAGAACAGACTACTGCTTTTACACAGGTATTTGCCTGGAATCACCAATGAAAAGGTAAAACAGCTGCAAAACACTATTTAAGCCAAAAAGAAAAAACTTTGCTAAAACTCAGCTGATAGTAGAAGGTATGAAACGGAACAGAGGTTCCTTCTTTACGGTTCCGTGCTCCTAACAGGTAAGAGGTACTCTGGAGAACACGCTCACCTCTCCGGGCTTTGCAGACGGGCACAGCCATTTTTCCAGCAGCATGTCCCAAAGCTTTTCCAAATTAATTTCATTGACTTCGGCTATTTCTTTAGCAGCTGCGTGAATATCTAAGATATTCAAGAGGTAAAGAGTTAAAGAGAGAAAAGTCCACGCGCTCAATGCAAGACGACTGGGAATCAAAGTGGCGGCTCTCCCGGGACAGGGATGAGCAGGGTCTGCCCTCACCGGGACCGTCTCTGCCGGACGCGCTCTGAATCCTGCGGTCGATGCTGGGGTGCTCGTACAGGCTGGCAATGAGGTGTGCGGGCTTCCCGATCACTCTGAGGTACTCTGCCGTGTTCAGCTTGTGGGCTATGAGCACGGCCTCCGTGCCCGAGCGCCGGTACTGCACATGCAGCTTCTTCAGCAAAGCCTCGGCTTTCTCACGCGTTTCATCCTATAAAAAAGTCCCGCGCACAGGGGACGCTCACTCTCCAAGGCTCGAGGGGGGCACAGAACCCACCCTTCGTTTTTCACACTGAGTTTAATTTTTTTTTTTTTAAGCCCTCACCCGAGGATATTTTTTCCGTTGATTTTCAGAGAGACACCCCGATGGGTTGCCTCCCACACGAACCCCAAAAGGGACCGGGGATCAAACCTGCAACCCAGGTTCGTGCCCTTGACCGGAATCAAAGCCGAGACCCTTTGGTGCATGGGCCGATGCTAGGGCTAGAATCCATCTTTATCAATCAACGGAGGGCCCTGCCTTAGTGACATCACTAAGGATCCCACACGAAGGCAGAGTTTTATTTCTCCATTTCAGGCATCCAGTCCAGACACACCTTAGGTGGGATATTCTGTAGCCATCTCTCGGCTAAATACAGGCAGAATTTCAAACTGGACATCTTGAAGGAACCTAAAAATACCAAGTAGGGACTGATAAGCAAATCTTAATCCTTTCAAGACCATGTATTCTAGTCGAATTTGCAAGTTGACATATTTTTTTAAATTATAAAAATGTCTACCCGTAGTAAAGAACAATTTAAACAGGACAAAAAAACACAAATTAGGAAGCAAACCCAGAGGCCCCTCCTTCAGCCTCCATTCCTACTCCCTAGAGTCTCATGTTCCTCCAGAAATTTCCTCTGTGTGCACATTTTAACCTTAATGGGGTGAGATCCTACACGTAGTACGATTTGCTGTTCTCAATATACATCTTGGACATCTTTCCAAAAATCAGCTACATAGTATTCCGTTCTATGAATATGCTCTATTTTTAAAACCAGTTCCTGGCCAATGAACATTAAAAAAACACACAAAAAACTTCAACTTTCGTTACAATGAAAACCATGGCAACGAGTGCGCGTGTTTGTGGACTCGTCTGTGTGGGAACATCAGAGGGTTCATTATTGGACGTGTGATTGGCTACTGGGACGAAAGCATCAATTTCTATTCCCTCCGTCAGGGTGGGGCCTACATTCCCACCCGCTGAGCAAGCAGAAAGGAGTTTTGCTTACTTGCCTGGGGCCATTTTAGCCCTCAGCAGTAAAACCAGTGAAGGCAGAGGGCACATGCCTTTCTGAACTGTCCTAATGCTTCTCCTTAAAGCCATGAAAGTGTTCTCTCTCTTTTTTTTTACTACAAGTTCACAAAGCAACCCAGCTGACCGTTTTCAGGGCAGTCAGGGGAAAAGTCCGTACCTTCGGGGATATCCTGGGCAAGGCTGATGGCAATCGCCACAGCCCACTCGGGGTTGACTATGGACAACAGGTAGGACTCGATGGTCTGGGTGATCCTCGTTATTTCCTTGTTAATCAGGGTGGAGGACTTGGCTTGTGGTAGCTTCACCAGTTTGGGCTTCAGTTTTTTTTCAAAGACGTGCTTGGCGGTAGACACATACAGAGTGTCCAGAGAGAACTTCAAAGAGAAAAGCAAAGCCAAGGCTGACTGATAGGTGAAAGCAGCATGCAGCGCTCTGCAAGGGACGCGAGTTAATTCAAGGATGAGGAAACATCTTGCAAAGCTCCCACCTATTACCTTCATCAGCTTGGAAATCAAGAGCAGTGTTGGGAAGGACTCCTCGCTGAGTTCCGTGGCTGGAGAGCAAACGAAGTCGATATGATTTGCTTAAGGAGAGGATTTTGGAGACTCAGTAACATTCATGAGACATTCAAGAACTTACATAGAATTTTCCAGAAGTTCTGGGCTGTGCCAAAAAATATCAGGTGGAAAGGCAGCCTGGTCTGGGCGGCGGACGGCAGCGTGATCACGTGCTCCAGCATGTACTGGTACTCCAGGTCCACCGGTGGGGAGAGTCTCCTGTAGGACTTCAGGTGCTTCAGCAGACTCAGCGCCTGCGTTAGAAGAAAACGTTTTCCTGAGGCTACATCGATCCTGCGTGTTTCTGAATCACCTAACTCTACGCTATCCTAGGTTTCCATTTCTGAGACAGTGCTGTTTCCAAGATGACCAAAACTTTCTAGTTTTACCTTTTTAAAAAAATATATCTTTATTGATTTTAGAGAGAAGACGGGAGAGAGAGAAACATCAATGATGAGAGAGTCACTGATTGGCTGCCTCCTGCACGCCCCCTACTGGGGGTCGAGCCCACAACCCAGGCATGTGCCCTGACTGGGAATCAAACCCCGATCTCCTGGATCCTAGGTTGATGCTCGACTGCTGAGCTACACCGGCCCGGCTGCAGTTTTACCTTTTAACGTTACTCTTCTAAACTGTAACTGATGTGGTCACTAAAGAAATTATCCAGCGGAGCCCTGTGGGTGGTGGGATGTGGAAGCAAGGGTCTGGCAGTTCCCTATGCCCCCTTCAGCTAGTTTGAGAGCTGTCTCCAAAATATTTGATCTCGTTTTTAAATACAGAGGCAGTAGATCTAAAACTTATCTTCTGTGTCCTCTACTTTACTTCAGTTTTTGTATCTTATATTTTTCCTGGCTTGTACAAATAACCTTTGGAATCAACCCATTTTAACTTTTAAAATCCAATTAAAAAAGAAAACATAAAAGTTACTATGACCAAAATTCAGAAAAAACTAAGAAGTTACTGAAAGTACTGAAATAGGATTGAGTGAGGCCCAGACCTACCTACTAACAGAAAAAGACGAGTGGGATGTGGGCACCACAAACATTTTCATCCCCCGGGTGACAAATAATTTTGCCTTAATTTCTCCGAGTCAGTCTGTTACTGGTTTCATAGTCTTAGACTTAAACTGCCTCAGTAGAGCAAAAACTGGATTAAGATAAATGATAAAATATGGAGAGCGAGGAAACCCTTCTTACTTCGGAATCCCTTTTAAAGAAAAGGAACCAGAATAGAATGTGGAGTTTCAGGGGAGCCCAAAGGTGTCGGGAAAGACACTGCATAACTAATTTTTTAAACATCCAAATAAAAACAAAAAGGTAACTAAACAACATATTTGCTATACCTGATTAATATTAATGTTGGTTATTTTCTCGTCAGCTCTTTCAATAACTTTCAGGACAATTTCGACCATTTCATAATCGTAGGGGTCCAACTGTATAAAACAAAAAATATGTGAGAATTTGATAAGATGGTGCCAGGCTGGTAGACGGTTTAATTCAGTTATGTTCCTCTGTATGGAGGTTACGAATACAAAATCTCAGAGCATTGCAATGTTATTTTTTAAAAAAACAACAGCATTTTCTCATGTCTAAAATTAGTTCTATTAGGATAAACACACACGCTTTAAAATGTCTCAAAAGTCATTTTTTTAAAAAGCTGGATAAGGCAATATTGTTTTAATAAAGATGTTCTTATAGTACTAAAACCCTACAAAAGATAAACGTATTAAAATTTCGTAATTTTGTAAGGTTTTAAAATTAAAATTCTACTTCTTCCATTTGTGATGGGAAAATTGGAACAGGAGGAACTGACCATTTCTTGGAAGTGACATAACTAAGGGTGTGGCCCTCTAAGCAAATTTTTCAAAGGATCCCACTCCGGCTCTAACCACATTCAAAGACGAAGAGCTAAGGGGGTGGCATCTGTTTACGCACAGGAAGGAAGTATTCTCTTTGTATTTTGTTTCTACTCACACATCATGTCCCCCTGCCCCCATTTTTTAAATGCCAGCCACCCCAAGTCACACGAATAGCACTGAACAAAGTGGGACGATTACTTCTATGGCTCCTAGAAAATCTGAGCAAGTTATATACCATTTTTGGCCGAATTACAGGGAAGATGTAAAACCGAAGTGTTTCCTGTAATCCTGTCATCTTAGTTCCCCTTCCATTTAACTTCCCCAGCAAACTACCCTTGACCTGAAAGTTCCAACTCTCAGATCTCCTAATCAAAAAAAACCCCAACACAAACAGACAAACAAAAAATCAAACAAGAGGGCATGGAGATATTCATTGTAACATTTTATAGTAAAAAAGTTTGTAAACTAAATGCTCATCTATAGAAGCCTCCTGTATATACAGGAGGGTTCATACATACCATGGAGTAATAATTATGTGTCAAAACCGAGATAGATGGATATTCACTGACACATGACAGTGATATAGTAAGTGAAAAAAGAGAGTAACAGGACCGTATATTTAGTGCACAATAGTCACCAAACTATTATCAGTTTTGTCTATGGGAGCAGGGTTAAAAATTTTCACTTTTTAGATTTATATCTTTGTCTAGTTTTTCAAAGAATATGTGCTATTTTTTTTAAATCTGAAAAAAAAACAAAACACACTTTTTTTTTTTAAAAAGAAAAACTGCTGTATTAAGCTACATTAAAAATATGAAAATCTAAAATTACTTCAAAATTAAAAGTTTATAGAAAATGTAGGGCTTATATTTCCAATTTGCTTCTATATATCTAATTAAGTGCAGGAGGGACATTTAAAGTGACCTCATACGTTCATTTCACTGTTTGTCTACCTTGTGGAGTATCCCGCTAAGACTGATGACCAAGTCTTTGGTGCTCGTCAGGAGAGGAACCATTTCCAGGGCTTTGGCCAGGAGTCTCGAATGCTGCTGCTTTGCTGGGTCTGAGTTCGCGTCCCCCTGGCTGTGGCTGGCATTTGTGTTGTGCAGGAGTGTTTCAATGAACAGCTGAAGGGCTGCATCACAGTTCAACTGAAAGGTGCTAAGAGAAGTGTTCGGTTACACACCAATCCCCCCCAATGCATGTTTCCACACAAAACTTCTCACAGGAAACTTAGGTCCATGCTCCCATCGCTGAAATCTACCCTCCTGGTGTCCAGTCTTATAATCAGATAAGCTACCTATCACTGGAGCTAACTACTGCCAAAAAAAAAAAAAAAAAAAAAATCACACATTAGCTCGAAAGGCTCAGTGGTTGAGCGTCAACCTACAAACCAGGAGATCGCAGTTCGATTCCCAGTCAGGACACGTGCCAGGGTGGCAGGCTCCATCGCCAGCAGGGGGCGTGCAGGAGGCAGCCGATCAATGACTCACATCATTGATGTTTCTATCTCTCTCCTTCCCTCTGAAATCAATTAAAAAAAAAAAGGTGGTATCTTAGGAGAATTTAATCTGGTCCTGGATTTATCCAGTTTAGTGCGTGAGCAAAAGAAGACATCACAGGCCTGGGGACCACATGTGGCAATCATCCTTGTTACTGTGTTCTTGCAGTAAGGGTGACCACAGCTTGTTAGGCCAACAGCAAAATTACCATTACAGTTTACAGAATTACCTGCAATATTCCAGAATGAGGCTTGTGTCCATGTCTGCATTCGCCACGAGAGTTTTGAGGAGGTCTTTCTTGGTGAGAAAGTGTTGCCTGAAAACTGGCTGAAAAGAAATCTAGAAATAAAAAGAGCAAAACAGAAAACTCCACTAGGCTGAAACGCATTAGAGTAAGGGCACCATGAGATGGGCCTTTTTACTATCTTTTTTCATAGAAACACATTTTTCTGTAGCTGCCCCAACTTGCTTTATTTTGCCACACTATGCAACTTGACCACCACTCTGAGATTTCAGGTATGTGTGTGGCAGTGGGTCCAAAGCCCTCCCTCTTCATCAGTGAGTCTGGTCGTCAGCGACAACCAGTCCCGTGACCGCACAGGACTTAGGCTCCAAGATGCATACTGTTTCTGTAGTGGTTACATTCCTGGCAGGTCAACTATTTGCAAGTTAAATAAAACGTAGTTCTTAGACCTTGGTACACCTGTGCATACGTTTTAATATTACCTCTAACCGAGTAACAGCAGCAGTAAGTATGGGGCTAAAGGCCAGGCCTGAAGTAGTAGAAACACCAGTTAATGCTAGATATGTTCCTAGAAATGAGAGCGCTGAGCAGATGAAAGTGTCAAGCCTCTTTTAATTTCCTTAAAAATACAGAGAAAAGGAAATGAGGCCAAAGGTACTTTCGTCTTTGAAAGCACCAGTGTGTACTTAATATCCCTAAAATTCACGAGTCATTATATATATATAATGTATACATGTCTGTGTATATATGTGTATATATCCTCTCCCCAAAAGTAAAGGACGGGATCTTTGTTTTAAGTTTTCTCACTGAGCGGGTGTCAGAATGGACAGGACTCCCTGGCGCCGCAGAGAACACTCACGCCGAGTTTACCGAGGCGAATGCCCCACTGGGCATCAGTACTGAGCTCACGGAACTTGAGCTCCATTTCTGTCTCCTGATAGAGACTGGCCAGCTGAGAGCCCACCAGAGAGATGGCCTGCAAGTGAAAACAGAAGTAAAATTCAACTGTAAGTAGAATATGTTCCAGTACCTTTTAAATGAAAACCAGCAATGAAAATCATAACCTTTCTTTGTGCTAATAACGTGAACTGTTATATATTGCTTTGTACAGTCACTGCTTATACAATATTTACGTCGGTCAGCTCTTGGCACAATGCTGTAAATTCAGCCTGGCTTTCCTTGGTAAGGAAAGGCCAAAAATTTAGTCATCCTGCAAAGCAACTCCCCCCACCTCCCCACCGGCAAATTTTAAAACACACGTGTCACTAGTCATGCAAAAGCTGGCAGAAACCAAGTGGGTCAGTGAGACATTCCTTTTGCTAAATCCTAAGATCTGATGGCAAAGCCAACCTCCTTTCCCTAAACCTTCACTATTCGAGTCTTGACGGTGCGCTCCCAGATCATACCAGAATCTTGTCGTAATTCTGCCATGCTTTATCTATGAGCTTCCAGAGGTTTTCAAACACTTCCTTTTGGGGTAAGAGAGTGCAGTAGCCCAATGCCAAGTCAAGATCCACCAGGCGACAGTTAAATACCTGCAGGAAGAAAGCATCGGTCCAGAGAGGTTAATTTTTCAGTCAAAACAGAACACAAGCTCTAAAGATTTGTCACTAAGCTTAATTACAGAACCAATGAAAGAACAAGTGTTTCCTACAAAGTCAGTTACTGTAACATAGTTCCAACTTGTTTGCTTAGTTCTAATGTCCTTTATCAATATTGTAAGTTTAAGGAAAGCAACTATGACAGTTTTGTTCCATACAGCGCAGAACCCTCACCTTCTCTCCTGGCATGACCATCTCATTGCTTTTCTTCAAACCCCCTCACCCTCCTCGCCCTTAACCTCACTGAGACATCAGAAACAATCAGGAGAGAAAAGAACAGAGTAACAGCTTACCAAGAACAGATACTCACTTTGTGCAACAGTGTTGTAGCATTTCCCCTGATGAACGGGACCGCCTTCTCCTTCAACGCCATGATCACCTTCCTCGATTTAACTAATGTGGCCTCTCCAAACAACTGTTAGAAAACAACAAGCGACTTGTTAGGTCCGCTTCTATGCACCACTCTGAAAATTGTCATCATTATGTGCAAAAAGCAGTGGCATTTAATCTATGATGACAGAAAGCTGGGGATGGGGGAGAACCAACTAGGCAAAAAGAAACCTTTTCAAATATCTTTGTTTTTAAAACTGTTTATACCTTTGAGTCTATATCTTGATTGTGGTGTTGGTGACAAGATGAAAACACTGGTTGATACACTTCAAACATGTGCATTCTGATTTTGAAAGCCAGACTTCAAAGAAGTTAACTTTTTTAATATTGATTTCAGAGAAAGGGAGAGGAAGAGAGAGAAACATCAATGATGAGAGTCATTGATCGGCTGCCTCCTGCATGCCCCCTACTGGGGATGGAGCCCGCAACGTGGGCATGTGCCCTGACCCAGAATCGAACCTTGGTCTCCTGGACCACAGGTTGACACTCAACCACTGCGCCACGCTGGCTGGGAAAAGTTAATTTTTAAAAATTGTCATTTAAATGAATGTGATTCCCGGAGACCAGCTTCGAAGGAGAGTTACCAACTGGCGGTCTGTCTTCTGGAATCTGCTCACCGACACTGTCAAGAGCAATGATGACAGTAACTTGGGCCACAATAAAACAAAAAGCCGATACAGAGCTCTGACCTAAGTAAGAGTTACCATTGCGACCTAAAACCTCAGGCAACTTACTTTACCTCCCTGAACGTGAGTTTCCTGGCTTGCAAAATGGAGAGGCTCAGGGTTGTAAAGACTGACAATGAAATCTGTGCAAGGACATGAACCCCACCTGAATCATGGCAGATTCTCAACAAATGTTTCTTAAATCTGACAAACTATTGATTTCCTTGCTTCTGAGCCAAACAAGAACATGTGGACTCCAAAGCCCTTCTTTTTGCAGTGCTCCTGTGCCTGGATTCACCCAAGGCAGAAAGTGTTTCTTCTCGAAACTGTACCTTTTCACTCAAACTGGCATTCATGAAGCTTGACACCGAGTACTGGAGACAGGTACCAAACGAATGCACTACAAATCTCAGGGCCAGCTCCCACTGGCTGGATTCCTGAAGGCTCTGAAGTAGGGCGGAGATGGAGTTGATACTGGGCAAGATGAGGCTGTCTCCTGGGAAATGACAAAAGCATGTTAATATTTAGATTTTTCTTTAAAACAAAGATAGATCATATTATTGCAAATTGTTTTTAGGTACCGTATTGCTTCTTCAGCACAGATAATGGTCTCAGAGTTAGTAAATGAGTTACCGTGAGGACTGATTAAAGCCAGAAAATCTCTAAGTCTGCCAAACAATGAGGCATTTTGATGGGAACCTGCCTACTTTGAGGTGCTTAAGTCATTAGCTGAGGAAACCATCTCTCTACTTGGAAGACCAAAACCTATGAACAGGTTCAACAAAATTAAAGCCATGAGCCTCATGACACAGTTTCCTAACCCCTTGGAAAAATAACAATGTAACAGTGATAAGTAACTAACTACACCAAGAGCGTTAAGTCAGATCCACAGGCAGGATTTCAAGGAATTTCTACATTGGCGCATTTATGAAACTTATGTGACACAACGGCGTACATTTCTGATGTCAAATACCTTCACTGATGGAGCAGTATGGCAAACTTATAGAATGCAGGGGATGTCTCTTGCTCTCTGCAAAAGAGAATAAGTTAAACGACGCTACATAAAGTAACTCTCTGCGGAGCACACACTCACATCACAGGGACATTCTGCTGCGTCTGGCTTGGTTTGCTCAGCACGATGCCTGGGAGGCTCTTCCTTATTACTGTGTGGTTCTTCTTCCAAACCTCTACTTTTTAAATTCTTGTCAATAACACACAGACAATGACACGAATGAGATTTACCAGCTGGAGGGACCAGTGAGGAAATCAGCTCGTAAATGACAGGGAGCACCATCTGGGACTCGAGGACGATTCCGTCCTCACTGAAGAAGTTGCTGTAGGACCACTCTTCGTATGGATCTTTGTGGGTTCCAAAAGAAGTCTAGAGACCCAATCACACAGAAAAAGATACTGATAAGTAGACTCCAGAACACGCAAAACTACCCTAAGATTCAGAAACAGAAATATTAGAGTCAAACGCGGTTTTGATGGTCAAACACAACTACGTAGTCTGCTTCTTCTGGCTGATGGCTGGTAAAATGCCATTTTAAATTAAACTACTACCCTAAGACATGGACAATGCCCAGAAATGACTTGTTTCAGGCCCAATGTTTCATAAGACTGTGCAAACTAGAGCCAATAAATGCGACTGGAAAAGAGAAGTGGTCTCATGACCATTGATCCAGAGTAAGAAAATACAAGAGGTAGTAGAGTCAGTATTTGTGTGAATTATGTAAGTGGTTTAAAAGTGGTGCATGTGGACTGGCAGGGCTTTTGCTTAAAGCAAAAGAAGTTTAAAAGCCATTTACTTTCATCAGAATTCCACCGTCATCCATCTGGCACTGTCTGGAAAGCTCGACTGCCGTGAGAGTGTATTTACATAGTTCTAAAGCGTCTAGTAGAAAATCTGGAAGATAATGGAGAGAAATCATCAAGCTAATACTTCATGTGCTTAGAACACTGACAACAACCTTTTAATAATCACCATTCAAAATTCTAAGGCCACAAAAGCAGAGAGAGAGGTTTTCATGTAACTCAAAATAACACAGGTCAAATGTTTTCTTAAAGAGCAGGTAGGGGGGAAGCGCACTGAGAAATTTCACAAACCTATGAAAGTATTGTCAACAGTCAGGAACAATATCATTAACATTTGGAAATATTTTAATAATCCCCACAGAGAAGCTATAATTGTCCCTTTGTGAAATGGAGACACGACCTCTTCTCTTGTTACAGTGACGTCCAATTGTAAAGGGTCAGCATTTGGGAGACAAGCATGACATGAACCAGAGACAATCAAGCTAAGTGTATTACAAATCTGGTCACCTGGGCTGCAGATGGTGGCAGCCTGGCAGGCGAGATCATGTATTTCAGAAGGCAGGCTCAGTCCCGCAACTGTCGTCATCGGGACGTCATTAGCCAACATCTGGCAAAGCTTCTGGCACGTCAGGAACAGCAGTTTCCCAGTATCAGCGTTGCAGTGATACTTAAACAAGTCTCTGGAAGAAAGGAAATGTCAGAAATGAGAATACTCTTATCGAAGGCAGATGCACTTGCCTTTCTTGAATTAATATATAACCACTGCCAACTTTAATTTTTAAATTTTTATTATTACTTTTTAATCCTCACCTGAGGATATTTTATCCATTGCTTTTCTGAGAGAGTGGAAGGGAGAGAGAGAGAGAAAGAGAGAGAGAGAGAGAGATCGATGTGAGAGAGACGCATCAATTGGTTGCCTCCCGCATGAGCCCTGACCCGGGGCGAGCCTGCCAACCGAGTACGTGCCCTTGGCTAGGATCGAACCAGGGACCCTTCAGTCCACAGGGCGACACTCAAACTAGAGCCAAACCGGCCAGGGCTCACCTACTTTTAAAATGACTTCATGTTAAATAGTTCGCTTGGTTTTCAATGTATATGGGATGATGTTAACTGTCGGACTGCAAAGTGACCTAAACCCAATGGGCAGGCTGCGTAACTATACAGTATTTAGTCAGTTGTCTTCTATGCTACTGCCTTCTGACCCAAAAGTCCAAAATACGCTTTCAGGGCAGGAAACCAAGAATTGCTTCCGTGAAAATGAAAGTCACCACCTTAGAAATAAACAAAGCGCATGCTCCTTCAGAGGAGCTGTGGGATGCGGAGAGGAACGCACCTGCATTTTTTCAACGCCACTCCCACGTTCCCATCGTTTAGGGCCCTCAGGGTCAGCTCAGCCTCCAGCTCCTGTCTGGACACCTGCAGGGCCAGCGCCTGTCTGTGCAGCTTGGACTCAGTGCTCAGGCTCTTCTCCTTGGCGGCCGCCGGCCCTGCGGTGTCCCTGGGTTTGTACTTTGCCTGAGCGGCTTCCTGAGCTTTGATGTACTGTTCACGGAGCTCTGCTACCAGGGAACGGTTGCTGTAATCTCCAAATGAAAGAAAGACCTCAAAGTTCTCCTGTCGCAAGGAAAGCAAGACAAAGCCCCAGGTCCGTTTAGTTCGTCCACTATGAAAACCTTCGGGATGTCTCAAACCTCTCCCTCAAAGGCTACTCCTATATAAATGAAGGATTTAAGACTTCATATAGCTCAGCTGACATGGCTCAGTGGTTGAGCATTGACCTATGATCCAGGAGGTCACCAGTCAGGCACATGCCTGGGTTCCCGGCTCGATTCCCAGTAGGGGGCGTGATCAATGACTCTCTCATCATTGTTTCTCTCTCTTTCCCCCTTCCTCCCTCTGAAATGAAAGACATATTTTTAAAAAAAAGACTTCATATAAATGTCTAAGCACCATGCTGTACACTTGAAACTAATACAATGTTGAATGTGAACTGTAATTAAAAAAATTTTTAACAATTAAAAGAAAAAGGACTTCATAGTTCAAGGTATGAAAGTAAAAATATTATAACAAGTTTAGAAAAGAGGAAGACATCACTTTAACCCAGGGTGTCCTTGCCTTCAGCACTATAGAAAATTGGGCCTGAATGGTGGGGGAGCCCTGAGTGGAAGGAGGGAGGGCTTAAGCACTCAATTTGGGCGATTTTACTCCAGTGGCTTGAAGCTCCCAGCTTGGCTCTTTTCCATCATAACTCCTGGCTGGCTGATGAGTCCAGACCCAGAATGGATTTTTCTGACCCAATAAAACAATCCCATGAAGGCCACGGGAGGCTGCCTGGAGGTGGTGGGAGTGAGGCAGACCTTTCACTGCGACGCCACACTTCAGGGCAGTTTCTCAACCTCGCTGGGTGCCTGTCTGTTGTGGGGCCGCCTCATGCACAGCAGGGCATTTTGCAGCATCCCTGGCCTCTACCCACTAGATCTGGAGCCACAGATGTTCCACAAGCAGCAGCATGATAAATACGCACGATTTTGCCTAGATCAAAACCAGTGCTTCAAAATCCCTTTCAAAGTTAAGAACATGAGAACATTAACTTACGCTGTTTACATTTTCACAGAGAGAGGGAGGGAGAGGGAGAGGGAGAAAGAGACACTGATGTGAGTGAAATGTCCACTGGCTGCCTCCTGCTCACCTCACACCGTGGATCGAGCCCATAACCCGGGCATGTGCCCTGACTGGGTATAAAACTAGCAACCTTTAGGTGCCCGGGACAACGCCAGCCAGCTGAGCCACGCCAGCCAGGGCTCAACAAAGCTGTTTTTAAAAAGAGGGGAACAGCAGGCAAGCCAGTCCACCCGAAGTCTCTGAAGGCCAGTGCAGAAACTTTTTCGGAGGGGCTGCTCGCTTATGTCGAAAGCGCGCATTAGTCAAGTAATAATGTTCAGTGCAGCTCAACAGCTTTACCTGCAAGCTGGCAACGGCTTTGAATAGACTCAAGGTTTCTTCACACTCATCCTTCTTCTGCAGATTGTCTGTGATGGAAAATTTTAAAGTTATGGCAGACATCCAAGTGCCCACGGGATCAGGGTTTATAAAGGCTAAAGTTTTAATTTGCTTTGGCTTTCTTATCTCAAGTCCTCAGTAGTTCTACTGAAATGACGACATAGGACAATTTAAGCTCAAGAAGAAACCTAATTACTCTTTCAGAGGGTACAGAAGTCTATGGGTTACAAGAGAACTGGCAATTTTTATGAAATAAATTGCTCTTTCCTTCCCAAAAGTTACTGTTAATCACTTTATTTAAGTTCAAGGTTAAATGGGTTTCCCTCCATCGTAACCAAATGATGAGAAACACAAAAAGTATAAAGCACCAAGGAAACCTAGTCCAGCAGGAACAGCTCCCTGAACATATAAACAAACCCTAAGTTGACTTTAGTTACATCTATTCTTATGCTACAAAGTAAAACCAGGAGGCCAGGAGGATTTTTGGTGAAGAAAGATGGGTGGGGCCAGCAAAACCATCAGAGCCAGAATGGGAGCTGGCACTGATGCTCCCTCCTGAACAGGGTCAACTTTAGGACAAAGCCAAGGGGAGGGGACAGAGGGAGACACTACCTTTCTGAATGTCACATAGTACTTTAAGAATGTCCACTGATGTCCTCACTACAGACGTTCTCCAGGCCTTGTCCTAGAAAGAAAGATGCAGAGTTAAATTTGTTTCCTTACTGGCCACTTTGGTAGTGCACTCATGACAAACTCATGAAAACTGTGGGATCAGAAAACACACAAAATTGCTGAAAAACAAAGGTCTCTGTTACTGGGATCTGGGTGACGAAGAAATGGGTCAAAATGGAATCATATATAACATAAACATGAAAAACACCAGTATGGACCTTTAGATATATGATTGAGAAATACCATAGAATAGACACCTTTCAGCTACAGACAGCTGGGTTTTTGTTTGTTGTTTTTTTAAATAGTTTTTATTATTTGAAAACACATTTGGAAAAGCTCTCTGGAAAAGTTAAAAAGAACTGAACTTGTTTAACCTAGAGAACTGAAGTGCAATCATTATCTTCAGGACTAAAAAAATACATAGAGAGAAACATCGATGCGAGAGGGACACATCGACTGCCTGCCTCCCCAGAGCACCCCGACCAGGGCTGGGGATTGAACCTGCAACCGATGAACGTGCCCTTGACCAGGAATCGAACCTGGGGCCCCTTGATGCACAGGCCGTAAGTGTATCTTTTCTATCCTATTCCTGACTTTGCATAAAAACAGAATGTATCAACATTCTATTTAGTGAAAATCTCACCTCTTTAGAATGATCTGGTTCCTCCTGCAATGCCAATCGTGCCCATATGATGACTCTTTCCGCCGTCCTCTTAGCTTCAGCAGGAGGCAGAGACCTCAAAAGGAGGGCACAGTCCTCACTCTATAAACAGCATTTGAAGGAAGAAAAAATAGCTGATACCTTTGTGCAAAGAACAATTTGGACTTACGGCTCTCTTTTCTACCTAAAGATAGTAAGATACTTTGGAAACTAGGTTATGGTCAGATAAAAATATGAAAATTCTGTTGATGACAGCAAAGAAATTAAATTAAAATACCACTCTCTATTCTTTGTAATTTCTATGCTTATAGAATTACCAGAAGGTAACGACACTTAAGAATACAAAAAGCCCGTATCCTATTCTGGAATCAAAGGATACCACGGAAAATGTAAAACATAAATCTGAGTTTTGCTAAGTACCGAAGAGTAGGAAAACCCATTAGCTATTCACAAAACACTTTTCAAGAACCTACAGAGATGAAAAAACATGGTCAATCTACATTCAATGCTTTTGTCTTGTTATAAGTTACCCTGTACAGGTCTATTTGAATAATTTGAGTATTTTGAGTTTTCAAGAATTTCACTAACAAAGAAACCATATGAAGCAAAGGACAACATGAAACTTCCATACCTGATCTCGGTCTATCAGGTCAATGATCCTCAGACTGTAGATCTCATCATCAGACAGCAGATAGGCCTGGGCAACCTTCAGAGCATCTTCTAAGGAAGACGGGACATCTTGTTTGAGAATGTATCTGACCACCCTCTGAAACAGAAACAGTATATACACTTCTTTGCTATAAAGTCTCATAGAGAACCTGGAAGTCATTTGTTCATAAGGCAAAGTATTCACTAAATTAAAATAAGGGAGCAAAAAACTAAGCTATGAAAACATTAAAAAATAATTTACATTCTGCCTTTTATGACAGTGCTGCCCAACTTATTTTTCCCTCTAGCTTTATTGGGGTAAAACTGAAACAGAAACATTGTATATATTTACGGTGCACAATGTGATGATCTGATACACTCCTTTAGTTTCTTAATTTACCCTCTGTTGTCTACTCTAATAAACAATTAAGCACCCTGTTAGCATTCTGTTTAACAAAAGGGGAACCTAGCTCTATCACCTTTAAGAACATGAAATCCTTATTAAGTTTCCCATGTTGCCCTGGAAATGGAACAAAGGCATTAAAAGGCTCTTCCTTGTACTTACCATGATTTCCTTGTTTAAGAGGTTCACCTCTCTTATTCCATAGCCTCGTAAAAGTTTCTTCATCTCCATTAGTTTATAGCTCTCCTGCAACAACTTGACCCTAAAAGTAAATTGATGGACATTAACATGGATCCTCTTTTTTATGAAATACCAGGGGGCACAGTCAAGGACAGAAAACCAGAAATGAGTGTCAGCTCGACACAAGAGGTTCACCCCACACCGATGAGGCTGCCTGGCGGGCTGCCATCTTACTTGGGGTGGTCCATTTCCAGGTGCTGTTTCACCAGCTGCTCCACGGCCGCACTCCAGGGAACCACAGCTGCGTACATGATCTTCAGCACGGCGTCGAAGATGAGCTACGGAGACGCACGCGGGACAGTGAGCAGCCCTGGAAGCTACGGTTTATGCAAATTCATGGCGCTGCCTAATCTACAGCAGAGGCCTTACACCTACTGTCTGGTAGGCAGCTTGAGAATGTTTCACCTTCTGAGTGCAAAAGCCTATCTTTCTTTCCATCTACACAGACAAAGGGCATTTTTAATATTCAGAAAAATTTAGCAAAGTCTTTTTCTCTGCTGAAAATTATGTCCTATAACTCTATTATTTTCTACGGCCTGTGTCTGAAGATATTCCTCATGATTTTTTATTCATATTTTATAACGGTGCCTGTTAACAGTGAAAGTCAAAATAAAGGTATATTGTAATGTGTTTTTAAAATGCCTGTGTCTGTGAAACCATAGAAAAGCCTAGAAATACATGCATCCAGTTGTCCATGGTGGTTTTTCCAAGGGTGGGGATAAGCAAACTTTCACTTCTAATTTTGACAATTAAAGAAAGTAAGAGTTCTGGGCAGTTCCTGTTTGTTTCCCTTTTTCATACTACACGGATTCTCCTTAATAAGCATACGTTGCTTCTGTGAGGAGAAAACAAGTTTCAAGGAAAGATGCGATGCTGAAAAGGAACCTGCATGGTCCCCGTGTACTCACGTCTGTGTCGGATAAACAGCCTATGACGGCCATGGCCTTTGCTTCCCACGCCGTCTCGAAGAGCGACGTGGACTTAGAGCTGCACCTCTTCAACAAATCCTGACAAGGATGAGCATATATGTGTACCTAAATTTAAAACTCTCACTGAAACAAAGTAAAACACACATATAGCTATAAACAGCTTTTACGGGTGTGTGAAGACACAGAAAGTTCTACTTCACCGTGGGTGCTGAACAATGGTCAAAAAGTGCAAAACTGCCAGCACCCTTGCCTTCGGATGGTACAGAAATTTATGAAGGAAACATTCTTGAGGGATCTATCAATAAGATTACTGCACCTTATTAACTTCTACACAAAATAATTGTGAATATTTACTGGGCAGTTGCTCCTATCCTCTCACAATAACCATTCGGAGAAAGCCCTGGTATTATCCTGTGTTGCTCAAGATTACCAGTCAACCAGCAGCAGAGTCCACCCACATTCGTTACCAGTATAAGCTGCACACATGAAGCGGTTCCCTCTAAGGAGCTGATACACTGCATTACAATGTAACACAGCAGCTCACTGCATAGGTCCAGGAAACGAGCAGATGCAAAGGAAAAGTCACCTCTATGTACAGGAGGAGGAGCTCCTCCTCTTGCAAGTCATGCTCCCTCATGTAAACTCTTATGAACTTCTCCAGGATGGAAGGAATGAGCTCCGGGGCCAACACTTTATCGAACATTCGGAACACAATGGTGGTTGTGTTCTCCTGGATGCCAAAAAGAAAGAAAAAGATGGTATAAATGTAAACTGCACTCACCCTGGCTGTGATAAAAAACAATGCTGATAAGCCTAGACTTTTACCTTCTCAAAATCAGAGAGGGCCAGTTTGCAGTTGTACTTCCTGTGCAATGTGATCAACTCTCGCAAGTTATTCACCAAAGTCCTTAACTGACGTACTTCCTCCGTGTTTTCATAATCCTTCTGAAAAGAAAGTGTGACAGTTGATAAGGATATGAAATAAAAGCGTGAGGCAAATATGCAAAACAGTCAGAATTATTTCATATAAAATGTGAAATGGCCATGATTATACATAAGAGAAAATACATATTTTCCCTTTTGGTTGGTTCAATAGAGAAAAAGAATGCATTATGATAGGTTTAACATGAATCGAATGTTTTATCCCTAAAAGTCTGTTACCCATATCGTACCAAGGAAATCCAATGCCAAGAGGACACCAATCCCATCTCGTCTGTTTTTTCTGCTGTAAAAAATACTTCTGCCAGTTGAAGTCCATTCTCTGGCCAGTTTGCCTTTAAAAAATTTTACAAATCATTAAAAATAATGATTTATGCCATTGGGAGGGTTGTCTTTTCAGTGCTAATTATACAAATTACCTTATCAGTTAATTCAAGGTTCCTGGCTGCTTGTTCCAACCATTTTGCAAGAATTTTCTGAAATAGATATATCATTTAAAAATAAAATCCTGCATTAGCTAATCATTGAAATAATTTATAACATCCACAACAACCTTTCAAAAGAAACACTAAAACGAACTAATTGGTGTTAGTGCGACTTAATGTTCAATGACATGATGTAAAAAAATAAAATTGAACCATCGAGAGTGGAAACACTAAAGGCAACTCACCTGTCCATCCGGTACAATCCTTCTCACAAATGGGATCACGTCATTTTTAAGCCAGGGACAGAGCTTTTGCAAAGAGACTGGTGTGGAAATCGAGTTGAGCAAGTTCTCAAGCATTTTCACATCGAATCTGCTTTCAAAGTTTGCCTGAATCACGCAGAGGGAGAAATTAAGGTTTATCTGCCAAATTTAAACTGACGCCTCCCAGAAAGGAGAGACTTCTTAGGATGTCATTTCAATTATTATTTTACTATTTTTATTAGCATTAAAAGTGATTTACTCTATACAAATGATTTGAGATGGGAGCCACAAATTCTATGAATTTCATGGCAGAAAATTCCATATTAACAAATGAGGTGACAGGTGAACTGGCAGAGATGGCCTTCCAAGAAAACTTAACTGGAGGTGATAATACTGATTCCCAGCAATGTGTCCACTAATGACGTCACACCCAGATAACTACTTTTTGGACCTAAGTTTATACGCCAACATTAAGGGGATTCCGAGCAGCAATTTTCCCTTTACAATCTGGACAGCAATAGAAATACCTTCTCCACGGACACTACATAAGAAAGCCCATCAATAAGTCACTTAATAAAACATTGCTTTTGAGCTAAGTTTAGGAGCTAATTAGATCCTGACTGATGAGATAAAGGAAGTTCCTACTACCATATATCTTTATAATATTTCCTCTGAGTTAATGTCATCACGGGATAGTTTACTCTGGGACAGGTCATGTTTTATCAAACTGAAGATATCCTATCACTCAGGCATACTTGCCACCCTGTTAGCTCCCAGTGCTGACTCAATCACCTGCCTTTGGGATTATGAAGCCCTTAAGAAAAAAAAAAGCAAAACATGTTACCCGGTGTCTAAGCCAAAGGTACTGTGCACAAACAAGGTTTCCTTCTCTTAGCTGCAAAAAAATATCCTTGAGGTCATCTTCATTGTTCAGAAACTCAATCCAAGAACTACCACTGCAAAGTCAAAGAGGAAAAAAGTTACCGGCTGAAAAAACAGATTAAGGTTAAACCTATTTGATACTGGTGACGGAGAGGGAGATGAGATTGACTGGATACAATGCAGGTCCAGGGACAGGCTTAAACACACCGGAGGTTTTCAGCAAATGATTAAGGGAACGTTTCAACTCAACCGGCAGTGACGATGTGGATTGTTGAGTGAGAGTACAGAATAACTGACTAACCACAAGGAAAAAAAATAACGCTTCCCTTTCCTTGTTCATCTATCCTGATAATACACTTGTCTGATCTTTCAGGTAATTTTATATTTGCAAATAATGATATTCTTGGTGCACGTTAGTGTATCTAATAAAACAAATTTCCAGAAATAAAATGGCAAAGGCAAAAGGTATATGCATTTAAATTTGCCCTTTCAATGTATCGATTCCCATACATGGCGTAGGAGGTGCCCAAAGCTGAGCAGAGAAAAATGCTTTTCCTCCCCAGAAACACAAATCCATTCAAAGCAATGCTGTATCTTCTACGACAGTCCAAATTTAAATCTAATTCACAGTCTAAAAATTGAAAATAAGGAACATACACACCTGAATTTTTCTGGTCCAAATGCTCCATAAAAAGTCGTCAACTTTGTGTGAGCCCTTAGAACCTAAAGAAGAGTAACTTCATTATCTGTAGGTCATGTGCAGTGATATTAAAATTAGGCATTCTGTGCGAGAAGTCTCCCACACAGTCTCATTTAGCCAATTCCCACAAATATGACTGCCTTTATTTAACACAAAACAAAACAAAAAGTTGAAATGATAGAAACATTTCCAATCGCATTCAGTGCAATAAGGCTGCAAATGAGAGGAAGCCATTTGCACATTAACTGTGGGTGCCCTACAAAATCAATTCATTTTCCCACTGATTTATAAATGCCCTTATGGGAAAACCTAGCTAGATCATACCAAAAATGTTCTTTGAACATTAAAAAATATATATGCCTAAGTACACATGTACACATAATTTTGGTACCATCACAGTCATCATCACAGTTGACATTTACTTGCCCGCTTAACAGGTTCCAGGCACTATGCAAAATGATTTATCTAAATTACTTCATTTGACCTCAAAATAACCCTGTAAGTACTACTATTCCCATTATGCAGGTATGGAAACAAATATCAAAATAACTTGCTCTAGAAGAATATGGCAGGCCTATCTTTAAATGAAAAACAGTCACGTGCCACATAACGTGTCAGTCGGTGAGGGACCACACATACGAGGGTGTAGTTATGCACCCAGATGGTGCATAAATGGTGAAGGAAGGAGATCGACCAGGGTGGTGAACACACACACAACACAGTGTATGGATGATGTGCTGTGGAACTGCGCACCTGAAACCTGTGTAACTTTGTTAACCAGTGTCACCCTCATAAATGCAATAAAAAGAAAAAAAAGTCTGCTGTGAAACAGTATGTCATGTTCTGCCAGCAGCAGCCTCATCCACGTGTTTACTGCATCTCTCAATTGTATCATATTCTCTTGTGCTTGACTGAATCTCATGTTTTATCAACTGAGTGTAGCCTAAGTGCACAGTGTTATAAAGTCTACAGCAGTGACAGCACTATGTCCTAGGCCTTCACACCCACTCACCAGTCCCTGACTCACCAGGAGCAACTTCCAGTCCTGCAAGCTCCACTCATGGTAAGTGCCCTATACGGGTACCATTTTTTATACAATATTTTTACTGCACATTTTCTATGTTTAGATACCCCAATACTTAGCATTGTGTTAAAACTGCCCACAGTATTCAGCACAGTAACACGCAGCACAGCTGTGTAGCCCAGGAGCATATATGATTAGAATCATACAGCCTCAGTGTGTAGTGGGCTATGCTGTACCATCTAGGGTTTTACGGTGGTTTTAAAAAAAATCTTCCTAAGAATTTATTTGAGCCAGACTGAAGACACATGCCAGGGAGCAAGAACTCAGAGGCTCCTGCACCATCCAGGTTTGTGAAAGTGCCTCTGTGATGTTCACACAGTGACATCACCCAAAGACACACTTCTCAGAACGCATCCCCATTGTTAAGTGGTGCCTGACTGTACTGTAAGGTACATTCACCCCCAAATTAACTTAGAAATGTAATGTAATTACCTCTTTTAAGCCATAAGAATAGACGGGAACAGTTCTATCTTCTTTATTCAAAAGCTAAGATGAACAAGAAACAAGGTCAGACTATCTGCTACATCAGCTTTTTCATAAAAGAAGATTGAGTATTTTTGTGAATTAAAGAAAAATGATCTCTAAAAATAAAATGGCATTAAACTCTGAGATAAACAGTGGACAATAAAGGAATAACATATCTTGGGGACATCAGTAATATTTTTTAACAATAAAGATTAAAAAAAAAAAAAAAAAAAAAAAAAAA